CCACGACTACAGAGATTATTACCGGAAATGTATTTCCTTTTTCATTATTCTTAATAAGTTAACACTTTATGCTTAAAAATATAATTTTCTATTTTCTTGTGCATGTGCAAATAAATATTGAATTCAATAAGATGAACATATTGAAGTATTTGTCAATCTAAATCACCATTATAAAGTAAGTACTGTCTTAATAATTAATACTATCACAATAATTATTAATAATTATATAAACTTTATTGCGATAACATTATGTATTTTGTAAATAGAGTTAAACTTTACATTACAATCTTTTTAATACGTTTATAAATTATAATATTTAAATTCGAGTAAACATATCAAGTGCTTTTTATTAGTAATTTTATTGATTAAAAATCCATGTGAATTATCATACAACTGTTGTATGTAACTGTTATGATAGTAATTTGTTACATAATTAAATAATTTAATTCATTATAAAGCATAAGTAATTCTTAAAAATTATGTATTCGTTACGTTTTATAGATATAATAAATGTAAAGTTAATTATAAAACACCATTTGTATTATACACCGACAATAGTTAGTTGTTAGCAGTTATATAACATAAGAACCGACAATAAAATCTCGGTAACTACTTAAACAATAAACCTTTAGTTATAAATAAAAATAAAATAAATAGTAATAAATCAGTTTAAATTTATAAATTCTAGGAAACAACTTGATATAAATCTTATATTTATGATGACATCTATATCAAATTAAATGAATTATATAATACTTTTACGACTGCCACGCGGGTGACTCTGGCATTGACTTATGCGGGGCAATAGCTCCGGGCACAGGAGACACAGGTGAGTGTTGGACAGAAGGGTTGGTCGCACCAAACTCTTGGAAATGAAGTTCATTGGGTACTGAAGTGGTGGCAAACGGCTGTTGCGATTGATTATAACTCGGCGGCTGTGCAGTGGGCTCGGCGTAGGACACGGTTGATGTGGGGGTCGCCACCACATAGTCCTGAGGCGATGGCTGATAGGGATTGGGGTTTGGAAACGCACTCGTCATATATGGTTGACTGTTTGGCGCCACCTGTGGTCCGGGTATCATATAATTAGGCGGTTGGGGGTGACCGTAAGCGGGCTGTCCCTGGCCTGACACGGCATAGTTGATGTGACCACCAGTGCCGGGCGGCACACCATAGTTGGGCATCGGGTAAGTCATTGTCGGTGGCGGACCCGGCATTCCTTGACCATAACAAGTTGTATTTAACGCCTGTTTCTTAAGACGTCGGATGTGTTTGGCGTACAGCGAACCCGTGGATCCGCTGACAAATAGGGCCGCCACCAGAAGAATGGCCAACAGATAGTATAGTATGGCGTAAACAACGGTCAGACCCGATAATACTGAACAGATTACGCCATACGTGACGGACATGCGATTGCTTTGCCTGTAAGCGCCGTAAGCGCCCAAAATTTGTACCATTATTGAGAGCACACCAATCGCTATGACTAGACCTCTGTCCGTATCCTTTAATTAAAATGGTTATTATTAAATTTTATTTTTACAAATTTTTAATTAATTAATTGTGATGAAATTTTCATTTAAACAACTGTCTGTGTTATTTGTTTTATTATAACTAGAAACAATAATTATAAAAATCTAGTTTTGATTATAATGAATATCACTTACATACGACTTGTAATAGTAATAATAGCTTATTGAACTGAGCGAGACTAATTTGATGGTCATCACGACAACGGTAGCAATCAGTGATAGCGCACAGCAGGCATAAACACCCCGTTGTAGGTTCAGAAGCTTACTGTCCGGCTGGACAACCATTTTGGGAACAGTTGGTTATCCTCTATCCGATCAATAAATTGACAATGTATTAATTTTAACAAAGAATCAAGTTCAAAATGTGACAATAATTAACTAATGAATGTCAATTTAGTTGACAACACTTCACCATAGTTATTGGCACTGTATTTCGTAGTTTATTGTAACTTAATGATTTATTATGTTTGTATGCGTACGTCTCCATTGATACCACGTTTAATCTGATTTTTTGTGTCACAATGTATTGTATAAAAAAGCTTTTAATTGCTATACAAATAATGGTTTATAAATCTTATTCATACATTGGATTAAGTGATTAGATAACAAATACAATAGTGATTAATATTATTGATTATTTACTATTGTTTCTGTTTGTATTAATTGATTCAAAATAATTTTAATATATTTTAATTGCCAATAATTGCCAAAATAAACTATTTTACAAAATAAGTATTTATATTTATGCTGAAACAGCTAATAATTAAATACACAAATAGATATAGACTCCTTATAATTCAAATACCGTACATATCACTGATAAAGTGTAATAAATTAATTATAACTGTTTGAGAAAACATGATAAAAATCATAGCATAAGAATAGTTTTGCTATAAATTTAGTTTAATTACTCTATCTATAAACTTTGTAGTAGATGTGCACATACAAAGTAAACTTTTTTTTATACACAAAAATTTATACACAATTACATCATATTCATGTATTATATCCATTGACCATGGTTATTTCTAGATCCATTGAGTTTACTTAAGATTATATTATATTACAGATGATTATTTATACGTTATTTTAAAATTTCAGTAAATGTAAATTCAGATTAAATGTAAATGTAAACTCTTTTTCGTTGTGTGCAATAAAAGTGGACCTAATTTTGTCCGTAAGACTCAACCGGATCTTCGACTCCGAACTTAACCCCCAATTATTCAAACCATTGAAACACATCAACAGTGATGTGAGTCCCGCACCCGACGGACCCATAACTGCCGTCAATTGGCCCAACTCTGCCCTTCCGTTCACACCATTCAATACGATTTAATTAATATTTAGTTAATTCTATTAGATTTTCATTATTAATCGAAAAGGAAAATAGTTATAATCAGGGATAATTTGTTTAAAGAATATAAGCTATCAAATAGTACTAATTCATTGGGACACCCTTTAGACTCCTTATAATTCAAATACCGTACATATCACTGATAAAGTGTAATAAATTAATTATAATTGTTTGAGAAAACATGATAAAAATCATAGTATAAGAGTAGTTTTGCTATACATTTAGTTTAATTACTCTATCTTTAAACTTTGTAGTAGATGTGCACATACAAAGTATACACAATTACATTATATTCATGTATTATATCCAGCGCATTCCAAATGGCCAGTTTGAGGCAAATTTTAAAATTATACTATTAGACTATTCATAGTCTATTCATATATAATGTACATTTTGGAATGACCTGATTATATCCATTGATCATGTTTATTTCTAAATCCATTGAGTTTACTTAAGATTATATTATACTACAGATTATTATTTATACGTTATTTTAAATTTTCAGTAAATGTAATTGATTATATAATATAATTATAATACAAAATACATATTATCTATATTAAATTTATGTATCATGTCTTACCAAAAATATTTGTTTAATAAGAATACAATCTTGTATCATATAATAAAAAATATTGTTTGTAACAAATAAGATAATGCTGTATAAACATTAGAAATAATCTGAAAATTTAGATAATGTCGTAATGAATGCTTTTATAACAAATACAGTAAATTCATTGCATTTTATTTACATAACATTTTACATATGAAATAATTAATATTGAATTGTAATAAATATAAAATATCACAAATGAATAAAATGTTTACTTTTTATAAAAATAATTTCATAACAAAAACTATAGAAAACAATCACTTCTTGGGAGAGGTTTTCCTTTTGGGCAAAGAAGTGGTCGATTGTCTGCTCTTTGTATTGTCGGTGGAAATGGCTTTCAAATTAAAATTACAAATTATAAATGTAATACTTTTAAAACACATTACATCTAATAAACATATATAATACCCGATCGGTGATCAGTGCCGTCCATTTCAGAGGTGGCCGCCAAACCAGAAGTCGCTTGTAATGCTTAAAATGCAAATTAAAATTTACATTAATCTCGTTATAAAGCAAATAACAAATGATTGCATTTCTCACTCGATATATTGCTGGTTCTTTCGTAGTGTCGGCTCAGGAAAGCCAGTAAACCCAATATAACGGCAAAAACAATGACAATCAAAATGACGACATAAACCCACGTTAACGACGCCTTCACGGGAACCGGTGTTGTTGTAGAGGGAAATGGTGTCACATCACTGCTGGCCTCGCAATTGATCAACACTTTGAGTTTATCGGCTTTGCACTGAATGTTAGATAAGTGTTAAAATTTGTAATTAAATATTAACACGAGTTAGAAATGCAAAACCTGTTGGCTATAACCCGGAGCGAGAGTTTTATAGCAATATTTGATGGTTTGGCCGAAATTGAATAGTATAATAGAGCCGTGACCTAAGTATGTGTTGGCCGCACCAGAAGAGCCCTGATTTGGTCTATTATCCCAATCCTTGTCACTGTATTGGTTGAGTACAGCCATCATCTCTAATGTGGGATCGATGTCGCCGTAGATGTGTCCGTGGTTGGGCCACCCTTCCATACACGTGGTCTTATTGTCCGAATCCCTCACATCACACGTGTATACAACTCGTTTGGCCATAAAGACGATCATTGGATATAGGGTTTCGCCAGAATGCGAATGAAACGCCAGTTTGGGCTTAAAGTTGGGCACAAACTCTATAGAAGTTGTATTACCACCGCTCATAAGAGTCATATTTTCGTGTATAACAACCCAATCAATGGTATTCCTGTTCGACTGTCAGTTAAATATTGATTGAAAATGTTCACAAACAAAGGGTGCGCCCCGTTTCAGGCTATACCTTGAAGAGTCCGGTGCGGCAGTGTTTGCTGGCATCGAACCAAATGCAAAACGCCATTGAATACTGGCCGCCAAACGTGTTACTCGTGTGCTCGTCATCCGAGGTATAGTTGTCCTCAAGACGTACTTCTTTCAGAGTGTCGTTGGCGTTGTCAGCGTATGACAGCTCCCAATACATGTGATCAATGAATATATAGTTGGCCCTTATTTTGTCCGAATGCAAGTGTCGGTAGCCGTACGACAGTTTGTGACCGTTTTGCGCGTATTTGTTGCAAAACTTATCGCTTGACGAGACGTTTGGTATGACAATCAAAATCAGTACTATTTGTGTGAAAGAATTGAAATCACATTTATTTTTTTGTCTTTTTATTGAATTATCATTGATTTATATGTGAGATGTGTTTTACGGATCACTTCTTACCCGACAAACAAAATGTCTTCATTTTATTTTATACAAGAATTATGAAGAAATTCACAAATAATTTGATTCAATATTTGACACAATTTCTGTTTCAATACAAATGTGTTTAAATTTGTCAGTGATTTGAATTCAATTCATATCTCGTTCACTGTTTTAACACTTTTTATTGTTAACAATAGTTTGTCATTAAAATATGTATTTATTTTCTTGTATACAAAGAACTTATCAATCAATTCAATGATAATCTGTTTTAATTTTCAATGATTTCAATCGTAAACTCTGTCAACGGTTTGAAAACCATTTATATTAATGCACTTATGGTTTGGTTTGTACTTTGAATTCAGTTATTATCTCGTGATTTGTAAAGTAATTTACGGTAGAGTTTAGAGGTTTTTATTAATTTTAAAACTTACTATAAATTGTCTATAATTTTGTAAACTAAATGAATTTAATTCATTGAACAATACATTCATTTCACGCAAACATTGCGTTCAAATCAAACGGAAATCTAATTGAAAATTGTATTCAAAAACTTATTGATTCCCGAAAAATAATCACAAGAATTGATGTCAAACTCAATGTATAAATCAGTGATAATATTGTATTTGTGTATAAAACTAGTTATCAATGGACAAGACTTGTGTCGGAATGGCTTCAAAATAAACTCCATATCTTATATCTATACCACAAATCAGTGGTTCCTCACGAGTGATGGTTACTATTGGCTGATCAGAGACAGTGAATTCCCGCCGAAGATCGCGGGCACACCACTGGGCGGTGGTTTCAAACGGGGCGACGCCTCTGTCTTCGTCAACACATTACAGATACCGGAATGTGTGGCACAGAATCGCGGCGAACAGGAGATCCACGTACTGGAGCTAACGGGCGGCGGAACCAAAGTCATGGCCTACGATCTGCGGACGTTTGAATGGCGTGACGGACCCATCGGTGTGATCACCGACGCGTTGCTCTCGTCGGCCAAAGTAGACTGGAATCAACGCTTAGACGCCGTCTTCTCGTACCGCAAGACAGACATTGTTTTCCTACAGAAAGACCAGTACTTCGTTGTGGACATTAAGCACCGGTGCGTTAATGGGTCGACAGTGGCCTACGGGGGCCGACCGGTCACTGATCTTAATGTGGAGAACACTGTAGACGCGGCCACCGGGAAGGGCGACGACCGGAGTTTCTACGTGTTTCAGTGGCCCTCCTATTGGACGGTCGACGTCGGCTCTTACGGGTCGACCGGAGACGTGCAGATCCTGACCAATAAAAGCGCTCAGAAGTCGATCGCTGAAGAGTTTTTCCGCCAAAAACGAGGCCAACCGTGTCCTCCGTTGGTGACGGCGGCCACGACTACCGCCGCCAATAACGTGACCGAAGCGGCGCCGCCCGTCGCCGTCCACAAGAGTGACGACTCCGGCATTGGTTCAAACGTGTGGCTCTATATGGCAATTGTGGTAGTGATGGTCGTACTCGTGATGACAGCCATCTGTTTGGCCGTATTGTTTGGCAACCAAAGGAAAGGCGACACAATGCAAGTGCTCAGCGAAACCAATCGGTCGACGCTTAACGACACGTCCCAACCCGACGGAGCGGGTATGGGCTCGAGTCCGTCCAAAATGACAATCCGTACGACAGCTTCCGGCGGGACGTCCGCCAAATTGAATGACCAGAAGAATAAAGCATCGAAATTGGGATTCATATCGACCACGACTAACGCCCGGAGCCGAGCCACAGCCAGTCCGCGTGCCAGCCCAAGTGGTAGTCCTCGGACCAGCCCTCGAGCCAGCCCTCGGGCCAGTCCTGGTGTCAGTTCCCCAAAACAAAGTACCAATAAATCAAAAACGCCTAAACTTAGTAACAGTATCACAACAAATGCAACAACTCGTTCATAATAATTGACTACTTTTCTCTATCCCTTCATAAAACTCAACTTACAATTGGTTTCGCATTTTAATTATTTCATTTTTTATAAAGTCTAATAAATTGAAAACAAATAAAATTATTAAAACTTTTAAATGACTGCTAAAAACCTGTCCAAAACCTTTCTTATGAGCAAAGATTTTATTTTTAATCCTAATCCCTTTCAATATATTGTAATTAAAATAAACTTTCTGTTTTATTTCGTCCAAAACTTTGTATAGAGAGAAGTTTACAATGTAACTTTACATGTTTAACAATAATTACATTAAAATTTAAGACATTAGTCACCTCTGGTAAATAATTTTAATTACATTACATTTTATATGTACTGATAACTGCATTTTCTGTTATCATTGTCATTAAATTAATTGCACACAAAATAATATCACATAAACTGTTTAGGAGTAATGAATAATTTAGGTTTGTCATAGGTATAGTTTTATTAGAAAAAACACAATTATAATAATGCAGTATTTATGTGTGCCATCCCGGGGCCGCTGGCATTGTCTTATGCTGTGCTACAGTTCCGGCAATGTTTTGAGCGTCGGGTGCGCTAAACGCCGACCCACTGGCGTCGGGAATCACCGGTACTTGTGATTGACTATAACTGGGCGGTTGGAGCGCCGGCTCAGTGTACGAGGGGTTTGTCGGTGCTTGTGGGTAGCCATAGGGCTGGGATTGATAGGGACCGACCGAATTGGGAAGCGCACCGGTAATATGCATTTGACCTGGTTGGCCAGATACTATATAGCTAGGTTGTCCTCCATTATGCATAGGATAGTTGGTTTGTTGAC